CACTAGGATTTCCAGTGTTTTTGTAGTTTTACTGCAGAATATACCAGGCAACATCTTTGCAGTCTGCACCTCCTAGTTACTATACTGCAGATACTCCCGCCTGCACATACCATAACACTAGGATTTCCAGTGTTTTTGCAGTTAACCCCTCTCTACCCATAGCTTGTTCCTGCAGAATCTACCAGGCAGCATTTTGCAGTTTGCACCTCCTAGTTTCTATAATGTAGATACTCCTGCCAGCACATACCATAACACTAGGATTTCCAGTTTTTGTAGTTAACCCCTCTCTTCCCGTAGCCTGTTGGTCATTAAGCCAGTTCCTGCAGAATCTACCAGGCAACATTTTGCAGTTTGCACCTCCTAGTTACCATACTGCAGATACTCCCGCCAGCACATGCCTCTAGATGCTATTTCTCACGGTCTTTAACACAGGACCCTGTCCTCATTTCTGAGATGCTCTTTTCTGCAGTATACCGGCACTCTCAAGCTTGTTTTGGAGTCCAGGCACTGCAGTTTCGGTAAACATTGTTAGCTTTAACAGCTTCAGTGCATCTCACTGGGACTTGGATATTTTTCCTTGAACCCGGGTACTGGTATATCGATACATTATTGACACTACTAATTTGTAGCTGTTCCCACAGTGTTCCCACAGTGGCATTTCATTCTGTTAACAGGCAGTGTAACTGTATCACTTGAGGATTTCTTTCAACAGTTGTTTGAACTAAAATTTGTTTGTATACCCCCCTTTTAACTATTTACATTAAAAGTGAAGTTTTAATTATCTTTCCTCTTTTGTGATCTCCCCGAGCCCAACCTATCCTAAGGTCACCCCTCTATAACGATATAAGATTATTGTACTATCTTCCTTCCCCTTGTTTCTTGTCTAGGGGTATATTCACTAAGCATTGGATATAGAGAAAGTATATTATTTCATATAGCTGACATGTTAACCAGTTTTAAACAGACTGGCCAGCCAGTCATCTGTAGCTTAAGCCCTGGGTAAATATAGGCAAAGTGTATTATTCCCAACACTGTGTGAGGAAGGCTCCTATGGAAAAGGGATTAATTCAACAATGAGGTGTCTCAATTATATTCAAATCCTCCTGCAGCATCCACTGTATAGGAAACGCAAGCCAGGAATCCACTAGTGGCACAGTAAAAAAGATAGTTATTAGCATACAGATTAAAAATGCTTACTTCAATAGAAGTGGTTTTGCTGAACACAAATCTCCCATTAAGTGTTTAACCCTTTAAGGACCAAACTTCTGGAATAAAAGGGAATCATGACATGTCACACATGTAATGTGTCCTTAAGGGGCTAAATCACAATAAAACATTGGCTTTCTGCTCAGTCCTTCCAGGTATCTTCTGCTTGGGATCCAGGCTTCGCCTCTTCATGATGTGTTTCACCCACATGCTCTGAGCTTCCTCATACATCATCTTAGTCCTACTTCCCTCCTTTTACACCCACTGTCCTCTAATTGGCTGAGTACACTAGAGGTCTTCCCTTTGATTAAGATCATAGACTCTGCCAATTAGAGGACAGTGAAGTTGGAGCAACAGCTATAAAAGTCCTGTACACCCAATTCTATCGGTTTTCATTTATACATTTTTCTTGACCATAAAATTTTTTCGGATGTGTCTCTATAGATATTGTAAATCAGCTGGGTTTGGCTTTATTGGTAAATCCCTGAAAATATATTATATAATAGCATCATTTTTTATAGAATTAAAGGGACACCATAGTCATCAGAACAACTAAAGCTTATTCTATTTGTTCTGGTGAGTATAATCATTCCCTTCAAGCTTTTTGCAGTAAACACTGTCTCTTCAGAGAAAATGCAGTGTTTACATTACAGCCTACGAAGAACTCCATTGGCCACTCCTCAGATGGCTACTAGAGGTTCGTCCTGGGGCATTGCTGCACAGTGTGCAGCACTGACATTCAGTGTCTCCACCCTCTGCATGGAGATGCTGAACTTTCCTCATTGAAATGCATTGATTCAATGAATGAGGAGATGCTGATTGGCCAGGGTTGTGTTTGGCTTGTGCTGGCTCTTCCCCTAATCTGCCTCCTTGACACTCTTAGCCAATCCAATGTGAAAGCATTGTGATTGGCTCCGATAATTACTTCTGGTGATGTCAAACAAGGAGGCAGATCAGGGGCAGAACCAGTAGCTGCAGACCTGAACAAAAGTAAGATTTAACTATAGCTAGAGGGGTAAGGGGAGGCTATGGGGTATGGATGGTGGTTTTAACACTATAGGGTCAGGAAGACATGTATGTGTCCCTGACCCTTTAGTGTTCCTTTAACTGCAGTTATACTATTAACTCTCTCTCTGCCATCACATACAAATCCCTCTGCTACCTTTTGTCTCATCTCCCAAGTTTAACCTTTAGATTGTAAGCTTATGGGCAGGGCCCTCTACCTGTTGTATCTGTCTGTTCTTATTGTGTTGTCTTTCCCAATTGTACAGCGCTGCGGAATATGGTGGCGCTTTATAAATGCCTGTAATAATAATAACTGAATAAGCCTGAATTCGGTCTGAATTTCAGAAGAGCAGAAAGGTGCCTGACAGCTGATATCTGGATCTAGATTGTTAAAATCTAGGCCCATGTGCTGTTAGGGACCAGAAACTAGACAGAGACAGAACATAGATGCAAAACACCTTTATTAAAAATATCAAAAAAGTCTAGGAAGCAAGCAGGGGGTAGTCAAATGAGCCGGTATCAGGAGAACAAAGAGCAGCGGAGTCAGAAACAAGGCCAGAAGTCAGGATCTAGGAATACACAGGAAATAGAACGTCTTCTGAGAAACAGGAAACCATGCAAGGGGCAGGAGGTACTGGGTTTTGCTGCTTAAATAGGCTGCAGTGATTAGCAACTGGCTACTAACAATCAGGTGAAAAACCGTGACAACATTACTGAAGGAGCTGATCGTTAAAAGCAGCTGAATAGTTCACACACAGAGTAGGGAAGGGTTGCTTTTTAAAACTGCATAGAAATTCTGACAGGTGCTTCAAATCAAATTCAAAGCCCTAGCAGCCAGCAGGCAATCAGTTTAAAAAAAAAACTTTGGCAATGCAATAGTTAATTATGTGGCAGCTAGCCAGAGCTTGCTACCCAGCCACCACAATAAAACAGTGTAAATGAGGGAACTCCCTTTGCCCTAATAACCATGAGGGAGCATTACCAGCCTCTAGACTATAAGCTTGTTTGAAAAGGGTCCTCTTCAACCTATTGTTCCTGTAAGTTTTTGTAATGGTCTCATTTTTTGTTAAAACACTCCCATCTATAATGTTGTAAAGTGATATGGAATTTGTTTCCCTATATAAATGCCAATAATAGTAATAATAAAAATAACACTAATACCTATAATAAAATAGAGAAATCTGTATTCTGTGATGGACTTTAGTCTTTGTTCATTCTTGATGAGTAGCGGGGTAGTGCAGCCCCATGGAGACGCAAAAGCGGAGGAGGGCCTTGACAGCTTGTACTTAGCAAGGCAGTAGGGATTTGTAGATAGGGTAAGGGGATGGGGCGTTAGGAGGATGATGAGTATATAGGGGCTGGGGACTGTTACACGGCAGCCATTTTATAGGTAAATCTGTCAATCTATCTCTTTTGATCTGTATCCGTCTTCTGTGCTGTCCACCTTGATTCCTTTCTGTCTCTCTTTCTCCTGGTATCTTTTTTTTCTCTGTGTGTGTGGGTTCTGTGTGTGTTCTGTCCCCTTGTTTTGTGGCTCTTGCCCTCCCCCCCCCTTTTTGTCTTACTTGTAATGGCAGCATGGAGTCATCGGTGGATCCGGTCATGGAGAGGCTGTTGGGCATGATCCATGGCAGAGCTGGGACCGGCGGGAGGACCTGTGGTGTGCCCGGCAAGGAGGACGAGGCCTACCCAGAGACTCAGCCCAGAGGAACCAGCTGCTGGGTTCCGGCCACTGGGACCCGCAGCTAGCACCACAGAGGTGGGGAGGGTTGTGCTTTCTGTAGTATCTGAGGGCGATCAAGTTGGAGACGTCAGTGGCGGGTCTGGAAGTGAGGCAGTGAAGGCCATGCAGGTGGAGTTCCAGGAGGACAGGAGTGGCAGGAACCCTGAGGCAGCTGTTGAAGGCAGTTCACGAGGGGTTACTTCGTTTTGAGGGGCAGCTACAACAACTGTCAGTTCTGGATGGAAACCTGGGGAGGAGTGGCCATGGATGTAGTGGTTCCCTCCAGCCCAGAGACCCAGGGCCCTGGGGGGGTGGGCTACAGTTTAGGGGTTACATAGCTGAAAAGAGTAAAAAACAAAAGAATACACAATATGCTTATCACAGTGACAAAGACAAATGTGACTCGCTGTGCTACCTGGAAATATAAAGTAGTCTAATGATAATTAAATATTAGCTATATACACATTAATTCTTATAATAAAGATATCAAACTAATCTCCATTTGATAAGGACTAGAGAGTGAAAATAATAATAAAGAGATTCAAAATTGCTCCAAAATACATAGATAGTGTACAGGTATTATAGAAATATTTTCAGCGTGGGATGTCTATCTGGAGCTTTATTGGGTCTGGCTCTATAGGTATCCGCAACACTATCTGTGTAATATCCAGTACACTAAACAAAATATATATATATATATATATATACATATATATATATATATATATATTGATATAATAGTATAATACTCCTTGTGAGTATCCTTGACTAAAGAGAAATACTCAAATTACAGAGAAAATACCCTGTTAAAGAGATATATAAAGATGTGGTATATAATATCAACCTATTATGGACTGGCAATGTGTGTCCTAAATGGAAGAGACTCAAGGAAAAAAAAAAACCAATAAAGGTAACTTTAAAATATAAATTGAAGGGGGCGTGGCCTGCAGCCGGAGATGAACGGACACATGTAAGAACAGCTCCGGCAAACGGAGACCGAAAAGAGCCATAAACAAGCGGTACACAGAGCATAAAACACTTACATCGACCGGAGGAGGTGGGCGACATGTCTCAGAGGCAGAAAAGTAAAGCGGAGAAGTCCGATCGAGCCGCGTTCTTTCTAACTAAAACCGCGGCCTCCAAGCTGAGAGAGGGCCAGGAGCCTGCACAAGATGGCGGCGACCAGGAGAGGCGGGAAAACTCCCCCTCTCGCACACCAGAGGAACAACCCCTGACTATGGGGGGCATCCGAGCGATAATGGAGGAAGTTACAAACACCATCCAAAAAAACATGAAAAAACAGCTTCAGGAGCTGAAAACCGAACTACACAGAGAGATACAGGAGATAGGTAATCGCACCACACTGATAGAAGCAAAACTGGACGAGCATGCTGTGGCCCATAATAGCCTGGCAGATAAGATCCAAGAGCTGGATATTACTTTGGAGGCACACAGAATAAAATTAGCAGACATGGAAGACAGAGCAAGGAGGAACAACCTCCGGTTCCGTGGAATTCCAGAATCTATACAAAATGCTGATCTCCAAAACTATCTATCTAACCTATTTCAAGCTCTCACCCCTGAAATCCATCCTGACCAATTGATTATCGACAGAGCGCATAGACTGCGCAGACCTAAACACCTTCCACCTACGGCAGCTAGAGATGTGGTGGCACGGATTCACTTCTTCCACGCCAAAGAAAAAATTATGAGAGCCAGCAGAAACACAAACATGCCTGACAACTACAAATCTGTTAAAGTCTTTGCAGATCTGTCGGCCGAAACCTTACACTTAAGGAAGACATTGTCGCCCATCACCACAATCCTCAGAGAGCAGAGCGTGGACTATCGTTGGGGCTATCCAGCTAAGCTCCTGATTTCCCACCAAGATGCGACCCACATGGTTACAGACGTGACCCAAGGCATTCGGAAGCTGAGGGATTGGGGACTACCTCTCCCACCCACTGAACCCACAAAAGCGGCAAAGGTCCCAAGATTGCAGCCGGAATGGTCAACCCAATGAAGCACCAGGGATATACGTAACTATATAACACACACACCTCTACGCCCAAAAAACGCGGACTGGTATAAGATACTTTATAAAGCCAAAAGACATTTTCGTCTTAGAACGCAGTACACATATTACTTAACATAGGCACTACAAGCTCTAGACTCATTAAGTCAGCAGCACATACAGCTGGTTAGAATCTGACTCTGCCTAATACGAAATCTGTACGGTATAGAGGAATAGACTGTGTACAAGATGGTGTTAGCCACAGACGCCTTAGCTGCAAATGCCCATAGGGTCTATGCCGCAGGCGTCATTGAACTGTATTGGTTATTTCAATGTATGTTACGGTATTAATCATTTAACTAGTTTGCATGCATTTAACTGCACACGGCTCTAAGGTCTCTAGGTGAATGACCGACATGTTAGACGGATTCACCTGCACCCCCCCCCACCACCCGCATCTACTGGCTAGATCGCGGACCGAGGCCCCGGTTATGGGAGCCCTACTGGGTACATCACCCATGGACTGTTTTGACCCACCCTTACCCCTCCTGCACCACCCCAAGACATACAAAACAAAAACACGGTACACCTCCAACGGGAACATTCCCATAAGCATTACTGGCAATGGGCATACAACCAAAACCCCAGGTCACTATTCCACACAGATGAGACACGACCTAGCATATCGTTTTCCAGAGACACCATTGACCCAATATGAAAATCTTGACTTATAATGTAAAGGGGTTGAACACCCCAGGTAAAAGACGCCTCTTGCTACAAGAGCTTAAGACGAAAAGAATTGATATTGCCTGTATCCAGGAGACACATTTAAAAAACACTAAGACCCCCGAATTATTTACTAAACACTTTCCATCTCAATACCATGCGGTCTCGGCGAATAAGACCAAAGGGACGTCCATTCTCATCCACAAAGATGTGGCATTTATAGAGCAGGGAAAACTGGTAGACCCACAGGGTAGGTTTATCATTTTGACAGGCCTCTTCAATAACGCTCAGTACACCCTGGTCTCGACATACTTCCCTAACACGGGAGCAGAGGTATTTCTCCGTCGCCTTATGCAGAAAATTGAACAACACAAGCTAGGGGGGTTAATCCTTTGTGGAGACTTTAATTTTATTACGTCTCCTGAGGAAGATACAACAGCAGTACCCCAGGGTGTGAGGAGAAGACAAATGGTATCCACATGCAAACAGCTGAACGCAAAACTTACACTACACAACTTATATGATAGCTGGAGAGTTCTCCACACTGGGGAGAGGGACTACACGTTCCACTCGAGAGTACATAACACCTACACCCGTATTGACACTTTCTATGTAGACCAACAAACACTAGCACAAGTTTCGACCTGCAGTATTGGTGATATAACCTGGTCGGACCATAGTCCTGTATACCTAGAGCTGTTTGACTCCTTCCAATTTAAGGGGAGGGGGACTTGGCGGTTAAATGAGTCGCTGTTAAGCGACAGCACATTCCTACAACAGGTGAAGACAGACCTGGAAGAATATTTCCAGGCAAACTCTGGGGGAGACGTACCCGACCAAACCGTGTGGCTCGCACACAAAGCTGTGGCGCGGGGTCTCTTTATTAGACGCTCCTCATATCTCAAGAAGAGTAGGCAAAAAACCCAACTAGAATGCCAGAAGCTACTGGCGGTAGCGACGACCCAAAACAAATTAAACCCATCCCCGGCTCTGGCCAAACAGGTGCAAACCTTAACAAGTCAATTAACAGAACTGAACGCAGCAAAAACCGCCTATTTTTTACAAAGGTTGAGGGCAACATCCTATCATCATAGCGGAAAAGCCACAAAATATCTAGCCAACCGCCTAAAGGCGAGACTGGCAACGTCCAAGATAGCCCACCTGCACACCGTAGCGGGTAAAAAAAATACAAAACCCCATGGAGATAACACAAGAGTTCGCAAATTACTATGCAGGCCTTTACAATCTGGGGGACCAGCCGGGCATGGCCCCCTTAAATGACAATTCGATTCGCTCCTATTTGACAGGGCTCCCCCTCCCGAGGCTAGACCAGACCCAACTCTCCTCACTACTGGAACCAATCACCGTAGATGAAGTTCTAGACACCATCAAACAGCTGCCCGCCGGAAAATCTCCGGGAGCAGATGGTCTGTCCAATCTGTACTACAAAACTTTTGCGGACATACTTGGCCCGTGGCTGGTGCGGACGTTCCGGACGGCGACGGACACGGGCCAACTCCCCACCGAGATGCTCCTAGCCACAATAGTAACCTTGCCCAAACCCGGGAAACCCCCAGACCAATGTAAAAATTTTAGACCCATCTCATTGTTAAATTCAGATGCTAAGATCTATGCTAAAATATTAGCCACTAGAATGAGTAAAATCCTTCCAACACTGATTCACGATGATCAAACGGGGTTCGTGTTGGGGAGACAGGGGACGGACAACACCAGAAAGCTATCCCTGGTGTTGGAGAAGATGCGGGGGGCCAGCCCGGGGGGTCTACTACTGGCCTTAGACGCTGAGAAAGCCTTCGACCGCCTGGGCTGGCCCTTCCTCCGCCGGGTACTAGAACGGTTCGGATTTCCGCATCAATTCATTACCCAGATATTTGCCTTGTATTCACACCCCTCAGCCCAAGTCCTGCAGGCTGGGTTTTTGTCCGCACCCTTCAAAATTACGAACGGCACGAGACAGGGGTGTCCCTTTTCACCCCTGCTCTACGTGTTAGCTTTAGAGCCGTTACTTGCAGCGATTCTAATGCACCAAGCAATAGACGGGGTGGATTGGCATGGGCGGACAATAAAAATTAGCGCATTTGCGGACGACATCTTGCTATATGTCACAAACCCTGACAAATCCCTACCTAATATAATGAAGCTCATCACAGAATATGGGGCGATGTCCTATTACTCTCTAAATGCCACCAAAACACAAGCATTGGGTCTTCGTCTGGACCCACAAGTCTTGACACGACTGCGAAGAGAATTCCCATTTGAATGGAGAACTGGAAATATAAAATACCTGGGCCTAACATTTACTAAAAATCCGAACGATATGTTTCCTTCTAACTATAATGGGGTCTGGAAAGAATGTTCTGAAACCCTGAAGGGCTGGGGACACCTTTTCTTATCTTGGGCGGAGCGCATAATAGCACTTAAAATGACCATATTGCCAAAACTCCAATACCTATTTAGAAACCTCCCATGGAGAGCACCGAATGCATATTTCAAAAATATACAAGCTAAGATGTTACAATTCACCTGGGGCACGGGACGGGCGAGAATCTCTCAAAAAATATTAATGGCCCCCGCGAGCAAAGGCGCGCATGTTCCCACATGTTAAAACATATCACCAAGCTGCGATCCTGACATCGCTGCTAGCACACCTTACCACGAAGGGCCAACCTCAGTGGGTACGAATGGAAAACCAAGCTATAGCCCCCCTTCGAGTCACTAACCTCATGTGGCTACGGAAAACCACTAGACCAACTACCCCGACCATGCCCACACAACTTAGCTTAGCACTAAGTACCTGGGACATATACAGACCGGGCTTTGAATCGCAATGTATTGTATCCCCACGTTCCACGCAGCACCATGGAAAGAAAGGGGAGCCACTCACCTGGCACACATACACAAAGCGGGCAAACTGTTGCCCTTTTCAGAACTATGCCGCCTATACAAAATGCCACCCACGTCCCAATATTCCTACATCCAACTACAATCCTTTTTACACAAGCACAACAAAGAACAGACACAGAGACAAGACAGGTGTGGAGAACTCTCGACCTGGGAAAAAATAGGGATTACAGGGATACCCCCACCTAAATTTAAACCGCTATCTGAATGTTACAAAAGCATCCAACCATACCAGCCGTTTCATAGCTCCACTCAGGCACAGCACTGGTCGGCGGACCTGAACGTTACTATACCAGAGCACAAATGGAAACACATAGTAACATCTGTAAGGAAATTGGTGAAATCGGCCCCTCTTATTGAACAACACCAAAAAACGATCTATAGGTGGTATATGGTGCCTACCCGCCTGCACAGGTTGTACCCCCACACGCTCCCGACTTGCTGGAGATGTGCGGGAGACCTGGGCTCAGTCCTACATATTTGGTGGAAATGCCCGAAACTGGAGAGGTACTGGAAAGAGGTACGACAACTTATAACCCACACTACTAAAACCGATATTACCTTAGAGCCCTTGACATTTCT